ATACTCTTCTACTGTAGCTACTCTGGGCTGCTGATAAGGTCCCAGAGCTAGTTGGGGAGGGGGAATGCCATATAGTGCTTCAAAAGGGGTCATCTGAATAGCAGTGTGATAGGAGGTGTTGTACCACCATTCTGCCATAGTTAACCATTGGTTCCATTTTCTAGGTTCTGTATGAGTCAGGCATCTGAGGTACATTTCCAGCACCTGATTTACTCTTTCTGTCTGGCCATCAGTTTGTGGATGATAGGCCGTGCTGTAGTTCAGCTTGGCCCCCAGCATACTGAACAGTTCCCCCCAGAATTGACTAACAAATATCCTATCTCTATCTGAAAGCATGCACTGAGGAATCCCATGAAGTTTACTAACATGATCAATGAAGAGCCTGGCTACCTTTGGGGCATCAAAAGGATGAGTGAGACTGATGAAGTGAGCATATTTTGTGAATCTATCTACTATCACCATTATGGTATTCTTTCCTTCTGACTGAGGCAATCCTTCAATGAAATCCATGGTGACATGGCTCCACGAATGTTGAGGTGTAGGCAGGGGCTGTAGCAGGCCTGGATAAGCTACATGTTCATCCTTACACTTCCTGCATGTGTCACATTCCAGAACTTTCTCCCTGATAGCTTGGTACATTCCTGGCCAATAGAACAGTAGCTTGGCTCTCTGGTAGCTAGCCTGGACTCCTGAGTGTCCCCCTATTTGAGAGTTGTGTAGAGCAGTGATGATCTTTTCCCTGATGTCTCCCTGTCCTCCTACTACCAGCCTTTTCTTGTATCTGAGTATATCATCTTGGTAGGAGTAATCTGGCACCTGTGTGGGGGTCAGGAGCACCTGTGATATGGTTTCCTTGATCCAATTGTCTCCCTTATAGCTCTCCTGCACTTCTCTGATCCAGGTAGGTACTGCACAAGATATGGCTGAGCATTCTTCTCTGCCTTGCCTAGAAAGTGCATCAGCAGCCACATTGTCTTTCCCTTTCTTGTAGTGAATCTCATATCTCAGTCCTAGTAACTTGGTGAGCCACTTCTGCTGGAGGGGGGTGGTAATCCTTTGTTCCAGCAAATACTTCAAACTCTGGTGGTCAGTGTTTATGATGAAGTGGTGTCCCTCCAAATAATGCCTCCACTTGGATACAGCAGTCACTAGTGCCAGCAATTCCTTCTCATAGATGGATAGTCCCATATTCTTTTGTCCCAGGGATTGGCTGAGGTAGGAGATGGGTCTCCTGTCCTGCATTAGTACTGCACCTATGCCATGGTAGCAGGCATCGGTTTCAATGAGGAATGGTTGAGTGAAATCAGGTATGGCTAGGACAGGGGTGCTGCACATGGCCTCCTTTAACTCCTGAAAGGCTTTCTCTGAATCCTCACTCCAGTGGAAGTTGTCCTTCTTCAACAGGTTGGTCAAAGGCCTTGCTATGGCCCCATATCCCTTGACAAATCTCCTGTAGTAGCCTGTCAACCCCAGAAATCCCCTCAACTGCTTAATATTTGTTGGTTTTGGCCAGTTCTTCATGCACTCGATCTTCCCTAGGTCAGCCTGCACCCCTTCTGCTAAAATTATGTGTCCCAAATACTCCACCTGCAGTTGTGCAAAGGAGCATTTACTCCTCTTGGCATATAGCTGGTGCTGCCTCAGGATGTCCAAGACCTCAGTTACTTGCTGAACGTGTGCCTCCATGGTTGGACTGTAGACCAGTATATCATCAAAAAACACCAGTACATGTTTTCTCATCTGCTCCTGGAAGACTTGGTTCATCAAGCTCTGGAAGGTTGCAGGGGCATTGGTCAAGCCAAATGGCATGACCTTGAACTCATAGAGTCCTTGATGTGTCCTGAAGGTTGTCTTTGGAATGTCCTCCACCTTGACCCTGATTTGGAAGTAACCTGCCCTTAAGTCAATCTTAGTGAAGTACCTGGCCCCATGCAGCTCATCAATCAGCTCTTCAATCAAGGGCATAGGGAACTTGTTCTTAATTGTCAGCTCATTCAGTTGACTATAGTCCACACAGAATCGTCATGATCCATCCTTCTTCTTGACTAGCAACACTGGAGAGGCAAAGGGGCTGCTGCTAGGCTGTATGATGCCTATTTCTAGCATTTCCTTCACTAATTTTTCAATTTCTGTTTTCTGTACGTAGGGGCATCTGTAGGGCCTTACTTGAAAAGGCTTGGCTCCTTCCTTCAGATTAATCTGGTGATCATGGCTTCTGGTAGGTGGCATCCCCTTAGGCTCTTCAAAAACATCTTGGTACTGGTCCAGAACTTGACTGATTTCAGCAGGTGTTTGCTTTGGATCAGCTGCCTCCACCACTGCTGCCAATTGTGCTACTACCCCATAAGGTTGCTTCCTCAGCCACCTCTTCAGCCTGTTCCCCTTGAGTCCTCTCAGCTTGACACTGCTATCCTCCCCTCTTAGCACTACCTTATGTTTTCCTTGGTGGATCCTCATACTGAGGTCCTTGAAATTGAACTCTATGGGACTATGCTTTGCCAATCAGTCTACTCCTAGAATCATGTCACAGCCTCCCAACTTAAGAGTGTTGAAGGTGTGCTGGAATTGGTGTCCCTGCATTTCCCACTGCAGGGGTTTGTCCAATCCCTTTGAATCCACCTTTTCACCATTTGCCACATTGACCAACAAGCTAGGCCCCTGAGTACCAAGCCTCAGTTCTATTGCTAGTTGTTCATCAATAAAGCAGTGGGTGCTGCCACTGTCTATTAAGGCAGTGACCTGTCTTCCTTTGGTCAAACCTTTAAGTTTTATGGTCCTGTGTCCTGCACCTCCAGCCAAGGCGTGCACAGACACCTCTATATGTTCATCAGCCAGCTCTCCATTAATACAGTCACAGTACACCTCATCCCCCTGTTCTTCACTCCCTCCTGTAGCCCCCTCCTCTTCAGCCAATAGATAGTGAACATGGGACTGTTTGCATACATGTCCCATGGTATAAGGTTCTGCACATTTATAGCACAATCCCTTCTCCCTTCTCAGGTTAAACTCTTCAGGAGAAATCCTTTTGAATTGATTTTGGTTGAGGGAATTTTGGTTATAGGTTCTAGGAGTGTGTTTGGGGTTATCCTGGTTCCATTTGGGATGAGTAAGTGCCTTTAATGGCCCTTTCTGGCTATGGAAACTAGCAGGAGCAGGTTTGTGTATCTTTTGTATGGCCTTAAGGTTCCTTTCTTGCAGTTTAGCTATTTCAATGGCATCAGCAAGAGATTCAGGTTTAGATATCTTAACCATATTAACAATTTCCTCTTTCAGTCCACTCATAAAACATGCTTTATAGTAGGAATCAGACAAATGTGGTAGGGATGGCATTACCAGGGCTTTAAGCATCTCGAATTTCTCCAGATAATCAGCTACTGATCCAGCTTGTGTCAGCTTGTTAAACTCCTCGATGGCCTCTTCAGGTTTCCCTTCTCCAAACCTGACACACAGAGCAGTAGTCAGCTCCTCCCAGGGTATGATCTCCCTTCCATGGAACCAAATGTCTGCCCTATCCCTGAAGTAGAGCTCAGCCACATCAGATTTCATATCGTCTTCTACTCCATGTATCTTGAAGTATTTGTTGGCCTTCCTGATCCACTCTCTAGGATTGTCCCCAGTGAAAACTGGTAGGTCCATCTTAGGTATCTTGTGGTCATTCCTGAACTCTCTCCTTCCAGACGATTCTCTCCGTGGATCCAATTTAGATCCTTCTGGTTGAGTTACCTCCTTAGAACTGCTGCTTCCTTCCTGGTCTTTGCCTCGATCATTCACCTTAGACATAAGTTGAGCCATCATGTTCATCATTCCCTCATATTTCTGATCAATCCCCTTCAATAGCTTTTCAGTAGCATCTTGCCTGAATTCCATTGATCTGATAGCCTGCTCCATTCCCTCATTTTTGTTAGTGAAGGTCCTGACCACACTGCCGAGCTCCACTATCTCCCTCCTCAGAGTCTCATCCTGATTTTTCGTCATCCCTATGGCTTGTTACCTCAGCTCTGATACCACTGTTGTGGTACAGAACCTAAGATCCAGCTGGGAATGGAAAATAATGCTGAAGTAATCGAACTTTTAATTGACGCTCAAATGAATTGCAAACTCAATTGAATGAACCACTAATTTATTGATGAACTTCAAATTGGATACAGAAACAGATTTGGCGGGAAAAGGAAGAAGGGGAAAAAGAATGCAGGAAACTTGAGGGAAAAGACAGAGGGAATATTTCCTCTCTGATTGTAGAACAAATCTAGACAAAAAGCTCCCTATCTATTACACGATCAATTCATTTATAGGAAATTATCCTAACTAACTTATTTCCGTAGCTAATAAACAAATGACACGTGTGGTAGGAATCTCAGGTTGTTTGGATTCCAGTTCTCGTACAGAAAGCATGAACCCAGAATGGGCGTGCTTCCTTGGTCGCGCCTTTGTTGCTTCTCCCGCACCTTCCCCTTTGCTGACTTCGCGCCTTCACTCTTTTGCTCCCATCCACTTGTCGTTATTTGTTGGTTCGCGCCTTTCCTTGCCTGTCCTTGCTATCCCCACGCCTTTCCCTTTGTACTCCCCACGCCTTCTTACCTCCAGCTACCTACTTCATTACAAAAACGCATTTTCAGTTTGCGTATTGGGGTATTTTGTGTGCATGGGATGTGTGGGCTGGGGAAGCGTAGAACAAGAAGAGTTTGATATGTTGACAAAGGAAACGATTGAAAACTCGAGTTTTGTTTCTTATTTATGATTTGAGGTCATGATGCAATAGGTCTAGGCATTTGAGTGGAATTTACTTTGAAATTTCATTTGGATGACACTATATATTCATTTCTTGGTTCATTTGTGACAAAAAAAAACTCGTACCATTTGATAAGTATACTAGTTTTGGGCATAAGCTTAAATTAGTTATTTGTTTCATTTGAAGAACCACATAATTCTGCTTTCTAGAGCTGATTGGACAAAAATTTTACCATACAACTCCATAAATTTTCCACAAAAAAAAAGTCATCTTCACATAATGAAAATGAAGATAGGTACATTTGTCAACTCAATTGCCAGTGAAGTATTTATAAAGGAAATTTTAATCTACTTTTTCATTTCTTTTGCCTTGATTCTTTTTTGTTTCAAACTTTACATGTATGTGTGCAATAGTCCCCACCGCAGTTTCCTCCTTCCTCTACTCTTCTCCTCTTCTTTAGTCGCAATAGCAAGCTTCCTCTGTTTTTTGAGCTCCATAATCTTCCGAAGAGGATAGGATTAAATTTTTGTCTGAACCTCATATTGTAACCAATTCCAACTATCAACAGGAAAGAAACAGTAAATATTTACTATTATCCAAACATTAAATGAAGGCAGAACTAACAAGAAAGCACAAAGGAGATTTTAAGCATAAAGTGTGTGTGATTACCAAATTCCCAATTCCCATGATACTCACCTGCATATGCACAAAATGTTCAAATGCAGTTTGAAATTCCCAGTTCCCGTGAGAAATGGTTGATACATGTCTGTATATGCACAAAAAGGTTCAAACGCAGTTCAAACGCAGCAAGATAAAGGATCATTCTCCTTGTCTACAAGTATGATCTTTTCTCTGCAATGTGAGTAGGGAAGGCCTGCAACGTGCTTAGTCCCTTCAATATATCATATTTGCAATAGCTGCACAAAGTCAATCAAGAGCTTGAATCTCACACTGCAAATCCCATCACTAAATTTTTTCTTTTGACTAGGAAATTACATTTGAAAGTTTCTTATCCTCTAATCATGACTATATTAAATTCCAATTCAACACATCATCTTTTAGCTACTAATTAGAATCCACCACAGAAAAAGAGGAAGTAACAAAACTTCCAACAAATTAATGTAAAATTCCTCTATTTCATTAACATTCTTTTCCAAATTTCCCAAAAAAAATTTGAGAAAAAACCATAGAAAATCTCTCCATACAACCTGGATAAGCAAGTAAGAGGAAACCTGCTGTGCAGTTATAAAAAATTCTCAAAAAAGGCCCAGTTTGTATTTGAAACAGTGGTTGTAGAGCATTGAATCATCTCTAATGTCCTAAATGACTTCTTTCTGAAATCCAAACAATATCAAAAGTTCATCACCTTTTCTCTTCTAAGCTGACTACTGAGCCAAAAGCTAAAAATAATATGCAAACCTAGTTGGTTCAATGATTTTTTTTTTCCAAATTTGCAATAACTTGAACTGAATATATCATATTTCTTCAACAATATAGAGGGTATATCATTATAAAGCTGGGCAGTCATAAAATATACAATAGCAGATGGATATTGCTATGTACTTTCCAATCTTGCTAGCACAGATGCTTTCCTCAATGCAAAGGCCATGTTTTTTCTACTTTTGTTTTTATTCAGATATGAAAGCTCTCAACTTACACAATGCCCATGCTTTTTCAACTCTTAATACCATAAAAAACAGAAGAGGAAAAGAGAATGCAGAGCTATCCTAAGTGATAACTTAAAAAACTCCAGCAACATTATAACAACAGAAAAGCCAAAATGTGCCTAAATAAATCCGAAATTGCTGTAATTTAAAACAATTATAAAGCTGCGACTGAGCTCATGTTGGTACTGAACTTGACTGGTATAAGTTCACTTAATTTTCATCGATGGGAAATTGCATGAGAAGTATAGCAGTCGACTCTAATGAAATCATATGACCCTTTAACCAATTGTTCTATTCATGCATGAATCTTGGAAGCACAGCTCTCACAAAAGCCGCAATGATGAACTGATAGTCACCAATAATTTTGCAATCCTATTATTTATATTAAAAAACAGAGTGAATTTAATAATGGAAAAATCCTACAATTAAACCACACCTTCCCTAAAAATCACGAATACTGATTTCTAGTTGCTGGACAAAAACCAATAACAGCATCCATTACAACCAACCCAAAGAAAGAAGTTGATCATAGCTAAACTTCCGGTAAATAGCATTTTTGTGGATATATAACCCCAAGCGCATCATTGGGAAGGGCTATCCGAAATAATCTAATGTAGAAAATTGCAAGAAAAAGCAATACCTATTATGTGATGTCAAGGCCCAACATTGAATATCACCACAGTATTAGATTTAGAAATTAATTTTGATGCCCAGTATCCTATACCGCCTTTGATTTTTAAACTTTATCAAAATACCAAAGTAAAGTTGGGAACTTAGCAAAATCATGCGTGAAAAGGCTCAGTATTCAATGCCAAGAGGGAGGAATAGTGCCATGGCTGCAACCCAGTTGCGTGCAAGCGAGGGGAACTATTAAATTTGTTCCCATCTCAGATCTGCCATTCGAGTTGCCCTGCCATGGAATGGGTCCATAACCTCCATGCCGAATTCATAAACCACTACAAAAATAACATCATAGCCGGCATTATGAATTTTGCTATAACAGATTCCATTGGAGGCAGTTTGGATATAGAATTTAGGTTGGATTAGGAGGGTGAAAGGGAAGAAGGAAATTTCTCAAAGGGATAAGCTCATTAAGAGGATAGAAGGACAGAGTACAGGAGATGGTGAAAGCAAGGGGTGGGCGCTCGACGGGGCGAATTACTCAGATTATAGCCGAACAAAAAAAAAATCGCACATGTACCGATTTGACAATGTTATTGTACAAATTTATGGGTACCGGGCTGACACGGCCCGGCACCCAAGTTTCATCAAAATTTTTTCTTTTATATCTGGCACCGCCCGGCAGCGGGAAAATTTTTTTTAAAAGAAAAAACTGTCTACTACCGGGCTGACAATGCCCAGTAACCAACCAAGGCTGAAAAAGAAAGCTGGCTGCCGGGCTCTCTCTGCCCGGCAGCCAGTCAAATTGAAAAAAAAAATTGCAAAGCGCCTGACTTGCAAGAGAACCGTTTGAAACCAAGGGCTTTGCAAACATGCAATCTTCCTATTTGGGCTTTGCAAGGGCTTTCCAATTGCTAAATTGGAAAGAGTGAGCAACATTCGTTGGGAATCTAAGAGCTGGGAATGTGCGAAAAAAAAATTCTAGGTTATTCCCAACCTTTTTTTTTAACTAACTTAGATTCCCAAATAAATTAACAAATTCTATTTTTCTTGTCATGTCATGCAAGAGTTTAAACTTATTGTTTGAATATTTCAAATTTTACATGAAACGTTATCAATACTTATTCCTTTCTTATTTTTCAAAAATAGTTTGATTGTGATATCACTCCAGATACTCATTGGAAAAAGGCCAACTCTACTATGTGGAGACGGACGAAGAAGTATATTCGGGCACCGGAGAAAGTGAATTATGCATGCATCAAAAATATTATATATTTTAAAATCACAATAAAAGTTCTCTTAAAAATTTATTCATCATCTAATGTCCAATACTTATATTCGATAAATTAAAATAGTTAATTAAATATTCTATTATAATATAAGTAACTATATATTATTGAGTCGAATGAATAATATTTGCTTTTTTCTTTTTGTGGTATTTCAACTAGTTGTCTATTAAGTTTCAATTGGAATAAGGATTTTATAATTATTTAAATTATTCAATAAAATTATCAATTTAAGATGAACATAAATATAAATACATTAAATTGTATTACTGAAATATTTAATTTAATATGAAGGAAAGACAAGATGAAATAGCAAGAAATTTTTTAAAAATTCATATAAGTACTTTATATTAGTAATCACATTTATTTGTTATTATAATTATAACACCTGATCATAATTGATTGAAACTCATATCCTAATATTATTTACAACTAAAGTTACTATATACTGAAATTAAAATTTTCTTTTTTGCACTAAATTTTCTTTTATATTTACGCCTCAATTATTTAAAATATGAAATTCAATTAAAAAATAAAATGTACCACAATATTTGTTTTGACATATACAAAATTCACTAAATAATGTTAAAAATTTCAAATATGATCCAATACAACAATTTCGCCCTTATTTTTTTTGTCCACTTATCTGCTACGTACTAACTTTCTTTTTTCGTTCAGCTTTTTTGCTTCACGGGAGCTGCCAGCCTTCTTCCTTTTTTGTCCACAACCATGCTTTGCAATTTTGGTTCACTAACTTCCCTTTTTTGGTTCAGCTTTTTCTTTCTTTCCGCTTTGCAATTTTTTTTTTAAATAACTTGACTGGCTGCCGGGCAGAGAGAGCCCGGCAGCCAATAGCTTTTAAAAAAAAAAAAAAATTCCCGCTACCGGGCTGTGTCGGCATAGAAGTAAAAAAAAAAAAAAATTTTATTCAAGCTTGGGTACCGGGCCGTGTCAGCCCGGTACCCATAAATCTGTCCCAAACCATTGTCAGATTGGTATATGTGCGAATTTTTTTTGTTCGGCCATAATCTGAGTAATTGGCCGCTTGACGGAGAATGCAAAGAATATAGGGTCTGTTTGGTTGGAAGTAAAATGTTTTCCTTGGAAAAATATTTTCCGTGGAAGTAATTTTTCATGAAAATCATTTCCCTCTCATCATTTTCAGGTGTTTGATTAGTTTATTGAAAATATTTTCTTACTTCATTTTTCTGGTGTTTGTTTAACTTTTAAAATATTTTTACTTTTATCTCTATCTTTACTTTCTACACATTATAACTACATACTTCTTCCCATGCAAAATAAGAAAATTTATCTCATTGTTTAACTTTTAAAAATCTTGGAGAAATGTATATATGAATAAAAAATATCTCCTTAAGCAATAAACAAATTGCTGGCCATTTAGTGTCAAATATCAATCATATGCAATGCTTATTGTGACATATATCTTGCACTGTCACCGCTAAAAGTTCTCTAGACAAGAATGTCCCTATTATACATAATTAATTACTAGCATAGGATGAGCAGGATGAAATTTTTTTTTATTTTGAATATACTAGGGGGAGGGTTGGGTGGTATGGGAAAGGGAGTGTAAGGAAGAGGTCTTGGGTTCGAATCCTCCTGTTTACACTAAAAAAAAAAAGAACATACAACAAGATGTTTTCAGTAAGTTTGGAACATATTACAGGCGGGATGCATGCATTTCGAAAAACAACTTCAATAAGTTTGGAAGGGAAGTTGTTTTCCATAAGATGAGTGAAAATATTTTACATAGGAAAATATTTTCAGTAACTTTTGTGCAACCAAACACGGGAAATTAGGAAAATATTTTCCTGGAAAACATTTTCACTCAAAACAAACGGACCCATAATCGCTGCCATCAGGTACTGTATCTGAAAAGCGCGAAAAAACACGTGGCATCTCAGCCCATGACAGCAAGAATGAAATGGCAATATCAAAGCAAATTTCTTTCCCGTGATCGTGAGGCATTAGTTTCTGGGTTTAAGGTCCATGAGTGGCCGGTTCTATTACCAATTGGCTGAACGTGGTTGCTTTGTGGGTCCCATCTTAGATTGCTCGTTTGGGCTATTCTTTGATGTTCTCCGAGTATTTAATCTAATTGTGTACGTGGATTCTTGATCATTTGTGAGAAAAAAACCACTTGTGTGGCGAGGTTGTGCTCGGGGGGATAGGGGCATCCCGTCCCACATCGAAAGATCGTGGGGCATTAGTCTCTGGGTTCAAGATCCATGAGTGGCCGGTTCTGTCACCAATTGGCTGAACCAGGTTGTTTTGTGGATCCCATCTTAAATTGCTCGTTTGGCCCGTTCTGCGTGGATTCTTGATCATTTGTGAGAAAAAAAAAAGGCAAATTTCTTTCTGTTGACCAAAAGACGCTCAATTAATGGAGCAGAAAATCGAGAACGCCCTTTAAAGACCACGGAATCACGTTGAAACCAGACGAAATTATTGCCCCTCATAAAGTCAATATTTACGTTGAAATCGGACGAAAGTCACTTTTCAAAAGAAGCATTGACGCTTTATTTGTATGTTATGATTTAAGGAATATGCGAAAGCGCCCCAAGCCAGTGGCCATTTGGTCCACTAGTCATCACCATCTTTGGTGATGCTGGAGATCAAGGTTCAACCCCTACCTCCCACAAAAAAACTTGTCACTTTGGGTCTGTTTGGTTGGAAGTAAAATATTTTCCTTCGAAGTAATTTTCATGAAAAATTACTTCCCTTTCATGAAAATTTTCCGTTGAAGTAATTTTCCATGAAAATCATTTCCCTTTCATCATTTTCAGGTGTTTGATTAGCTTATTGAAAATATTTTCTTACTTCATTTTTCTGGTGTTTGTTTAACTTTTGAAATATTTTCACTTTTATCTCTATCTTTACTTTCTACATATTATAACTCATACTTCTTCCCATGCAAAATAAGAAAATTTATCTCATTGTTTAACTTTAAAAAATCTTGGAGAAATGTATATATGAATAAAAAATATCTCCTTAAGCAATAAACAAATTGCTGGCCATTTAGTGTCAAATATCAATCACATGCAATGCTTATTGTGACATATATCTTGCACTCTCACTGCTGAAAGTTTCTCTAGAAAAGAATGTCCCTATTATACATAATTAATTACTAGCATAGGATTAGCAGGATGAGATTTTTTTTTATTTTGAATATACTAGGGGGAGGGTTGGGTTGGGTTGGGTGGTACGGGGAAGGGAGTGTAAGGAAGAGGTCTTGGGTTCAAATCTTCCTGTTTACACTAAAAAAGAAAAAAAAAAGAACATACTACAAGATGTTTTCAGTAAGTTTGGAACATACTACAGGCGGGATGCATGCATTTCGGAAAACAATTTCAGTAAGTTTGGAAGGGAAGTTGTTTTCCATAAGTTGAGTGAAAATATTTTACATAGGAAAATGTTTTCAGTAACTTTTGTGCAACCAAACACGGAAAATTAAGAAAATATTTTCCTGGAAAATATTTTCACCCAAAACAAACGGACCCTTTATGTGGCTGGTCTTCTGCCCCCACGGGATAGCTCGAACGGTCCG